TATTGAGGGGGCAGGCTTATGGTGCAGCATTCTGCAAAACCTTTATTTCATGCAAAAACTATAAAGAATTGAGAATGCAAAAAAGCATATTATTGAGGCCAAAACCTACTAAATGCATTAAACTAGTATTGGTGCCTGGATGTCTGCACCTCTTACTTAGTGAGGGATTTTGCAAGTTCAGAAAACTTGGCCTGCTCTGGAGGTAAGGTTTTGATCAAATATTTCAAAAGTTCAGGCAATCTTCCATGCAATCAGATTGTGGCATTGAGAAGAGGATGTGACTGTAGCATAAGATGGCCACCTTACTTAGAGTACTGAATGACTCCTATGTTTGTCACCCGGTGCCCATTGTAGGTGCAGGGTGTGTGGAATGTAATTGTTTAGTGTTACATTTTAAAAAAAAAAACCAAAATCTGCATGGAAGAAGAGCTGCAGCAGATGGGACAATACCTGTCAGGTATGTGTGCAGCCTAATCGGGTGGAAAAGCCCCAGAGGAACATCAGTCAAACCTTGTCAACTAGGGTCTGAAGTGTTCCAGGGTCGCGTCTAGGAAGCAGCGTTACTTGGTCGGAGAACAGGAGCTCTGTCACAGAGGACAACACCGTGACTAGCTCCAAGATTTATGTTCTGGTAGTAGACAACAGAGTTGCTATTTTGGATGGTTAAACTGGACATTTGTTAAAGCTTGCATCCACAACAGGGTATGACAAGCATATTTGTGTTTTCCAGAAATGTGTTGTGGCAGACCACTTGTTAAGGAAACCTAGTGTCACTGCAAAGGCTCTCCTTTCCCCTTTGAAGTATCCCATTCAGCACACTAGTCATTGGTTATAGCTTGCATTATAGCTGTAGTGTTTAGCAGTGTTATAGCTTTATACCCCCCAATCCATCAGTTGAGACTTAATGCTGGGAGAATACATTTTATTGTCACCAATATGGTAATTTAAACAGACCCCCAGTATGGGGTCCCTATTGAACAGTATAACGATCACACCATGGGGCCTCTGTCTGGGAGATAATTATGTTCTCTCACTAAACCAATTATCTTCTGGACAGAGAAGTCACAACATAAAATAACCCCCAAAACATAATAAAAACCCACAGTAACACCACATGTGATACATCCCCAGATAGCGCTGATCCGAGTGGCCATACTGGCAAAATAGTACGCGGATCCAAGCAAAATTGGAGAATTGCCACCGGAGTAAAGATTTGACTGGCCACTATCAATGTGCATGTCCAAAACAAAAGTTCCATGATGAATGGGGCTTTGGCTGGTCAAATATCAGGGGCTCCTGTGGATGGAAAAGGGGGCACTCCCCCTAGGTCTTGGGAGCGATTGTTCACAAAAGTTTCTAGTATATTCCTTACCAAAGAGCGATCTCCTGGCTGGTCGGAAAGTGGGGGGGAAAACCGATATGGAAGTTAACCAGGTGCAGTGACTGGTTGCGGCCAAGCCAGAGTTCCATAGATTTTGGGTGTAAATTCCATCATATTCTTCATGTCTCTCTGAATCCTGAAGGGAGCCATAAGGAGAGGCGCTCTTGGTTGGGTGATC